TAGACAAAAACTAAGCAGCATATCTTTATTGGTCATCTGTTCCTCTTTCTTTAAAAGGAAATTCAGGTCTTTTCCTTCTCTTTGGATTGAGCTGCTTGTGGTTTTATTGTTACTATTGTTGAACTGTGAGAGTTCTTTATATATTTTGGCCCATGTTCAGATGTACAATATGCAACATTATTTGGCCCTTGAAAATGATCTTTCCCCTTTCTTGATCCATGATCTATTACTTGTTAATAGTGCTTAAAATGGCCTCCCAACTGAACTTAGTCTGTACAAATAGAGTGTGATCTTTGATGTCTGTGAACAAGACAGAATGATTAAGTCAACTATTTAACGCCCACTACACATTTATCTCCCATTTGTTATGGTGAGACATTGGAAATTTTTCTTGGTGACTCTGAAATATACACTGCCACTGACTACAATTGTCTATGGGTTACTTCTAACCTGCCTCTCTTTCCAGTGTGAAATTTACATTCTGCTTCTGAAGCTCTTTTGTGTTTCCTTCCCACAGTCTGGTTAGCCTTATTTTACTTATTTATTTATTTATTTATTTATTTATTTATTTATTTATTTATTTATTTACTTGTTTGTTTATTTATTATAAAGTGTTCTGCCTGCACATCAGAAAGGGACACCATATTTCATTATACATAGTTGTAAGCCATCATGTGGGTGCTGGGAATTGAACTCAGGGCCTCTAGAAGACCTGCCAGTGCTCTCAACCACTGAGTTATCTCTCCAACCGCAGTACAGGGATCATTTCCTGCAGGCAAATACTAATAGACACTGCTTGGTGGAAGGTCAGGTCATTGTTCACATTTAAGGTTAATTTGAAGGCATAGCAATGATCATTTACCATGTGTCCTATTATAGAAAAAGTGAGACAGCAAACACAGTCATTGAGTCAGGGTCACATAGGCCATCAGTGGCACAAGCTATCTGTCCAAAAGCATATCTGCAGGTCCCCATTATGGAGACCTAGTAGGTGGCCTTCACTCCTCTAGATCATTTCATAGACTCAGGATTCTTTTATTTTTTGAATGTTAATCTTTTTTTTTCCTTTTATTTTATTTTACAATACCATTTAGTTCTACATATCAGCCATGGGTTCCCCTGTTCTCCCCCCTCC